TCTCTCTCTCTCTCTCTCTCTCTCTCTCTCTCTCTCTCTCTCTCTCTCTCTCTCACTCCACTACCCTCCTCGGCGCTGGACTCCTCCAGCGCTGTACCTCATTGCCGATGAGCAGCGTAGCTGCAGTCTCGGAATCTCCAGAATAGCGCAGCAGCGGAGTTCCTGAACCAGCATAACGCTGGATTTCTCCTGGTACCTTCTGTCCACGAACTGGGCAATGGCCCAGCTTAAGTAGTGCTGGGCCAGGACTGAAAACCCACGGCCTGCGTTCTGGACCGTGCAGATCGAAACTCCGATCCACGGTCCAGATCGCAGGCCTTGAAACTGGTTCAGTCCTTGGCCTAAAAACGGCCTGCCTGGGTCCCTACCGGACGTCCAGGCCCTGTCCAGGATTCAGTTTCTCGGTACCTGGCTTCGAACCGGTCCTGTGCGGACGTACCCGGCCTCAACGTCGGCCTGGGCCCGAACACGTAGAAATCTGTTCGAAAACAAAAGAAAAAGTCCAAACGTTTTTAAAAGCTCAGCCTCTGGGCCTGAATCTGGCCCTGGTCCTAAAACGTGTACCTGGCCACAAAACGGACAACAGTACAACCGTTAGAAAAACAGCAGCCAGTAAATAAATAAAAGAATATAAAAATAATCTAAAGCTGGCGTTTTTCTGATGCAGGCCCAAGTAAAAATGCCATAGGGCCTTCAGGTTGCGGTGACGCGACCTGGGGGCCCTATTCCAACCTCGGGTCCCGTGAGGGGCCCGTGTGTAGGCTTTCAGCACGTAACACGCCCCCCTCCTTATGAAGACGAGCCGGGGCGCGGGCGAAGCTGCCGAGCCAATGGCGGAATGTAGCGAGGAAGGCGAGGAGCTGGCGTGCTCGGCGTAGTCTTCCCTTTGCTAAGATAATGTGAGAGAACGGCGGGAGCTGTGGCCTGCAGTTCCGAACGCGTCAGCCAACGGTCAGCCTTGTGGCTGCAGTAGGAAAAGTGAAGTAGAAACTTTGTTTCTTTGTTGCCATGGCGCCGATCGTTGATGATGTAGCCGGCCTCCTAAAATCCGTCCATGGAACGAGGGTCTTGCGTACGTCGACCGGGAAACTCGTCGGACTCCGCTGAGACGAAAGGAGCGAGTTTGGAACAGTGGAACACCGTGTGGACGGGCAAGTGAGGTGGCACCGCGATGCGGAATGAAGGCCCCTCGGGATCATCACCAACTGCAGAGAGAATGCGCCAAGGCCCCATCCACTTGGGAATGAGCTTGCGAGAGATGTCTTGCTCAAGGCTGAACTCTGCGGCGGAGACCCAAACCAGATCGTCGGCGCGAAACGGGCAAGGAAGGCGATTGCGGTTGGCTTGACGGCTCATCCGTATTTGCGACTTCGACATCTGATCCCGTGCCTTGACAAGAAGCTCTTGCATGCGACGAAGGAACGCAAGATGGTCGTCGCTCTCGGTTGTGCGCGGCAAAGTGGCGTCCAACGGCGATGAGATGGGTGAACTATGCTCAAACTCGAATGGCAACATCCCGATAGCTGGATGGATCGATGAGTTGTAAGCCAACTCAACGTCTGGCAAGCGCTCGACCCAATCAACCTGGTCGGGACGGATGAGAGTGCGTAGAAGGACTTGAGCGGTCTGATGCGCCCTTTCCGTTTGACCATCGGTTTGCGGGTGGCGAGCCGAACTCGGCTTCAAAGATGAGCCCCATC